AATCCGCTCCCGCGCGGCGGCCACCCGCCAATCGGCGCCGCTCCCCGCACCCGGCCTCCGCCAATCAGCGGCAACCCACCTGCAGCCGCCCGCCCAACAACAGGAGACAAAGAGACCGAGACCCGCCCCCGGCGATGACTGACAGGAAGCTTGGCCAATTGAGAGCGTATTCCCGCCTCTCGTAACGTGACTGCCAGCAGGTCTGGCCAAACGCAGGGCAGAGCTCGGTCTTGGGAGTGACTGACACATAAGACAACCAATGGAAGATGGACACCCGCCCTCTAGGTGGAACTTAACAAGCATCTGCCCAATGGAAGGAGAGATCCACCCCTAAATTTTTACTGATAGGGGTCGTGACCAATGGAAACCACACACTGGCAGCTAGGAACGTGACTGACAAGGGAGTCAGCCAACAGAACCACAGGGCAACCCTCTCCGGCACTAATGCCTACAGTGCGCCCTCTGCTGGCGGTTCCCGGCAGGCGGTGCAGAGGCCCGGGGCGGGGGGCGGAGCCGGGGGGGTGCACGTGCAGTGTTGGGGCCGCTGTGCAATGGGGCAGGCGGGGTCCGGGGCGCTGTGCAATGGGGCAGGCGGGGGTCTGGGCCGCTGTGCAATGGGGCAGGCGGGGTCTGGGGCGCCGTGCCCAGGGCAGGCGGGGTTTGGGGCGCTGTGCAATGGGGCAGGCGGGGTCTGGGGCGCTGTGCAATGGGGCAGGCGGGGTCTGGGGCGCCGTGCCCAGGGCAGGCGGGGGTGTGGGGCGCTGTGCAATGGGGCAGGCGGGGTCTGGGGCGCTGTGCAATGGGGCAGGCGGGTGCAGGGGGGGGGGGTGGGCAATGGGGCAGGCGCGGGGGCGTGCCCAGGGCAGGCGGGGTGGGGGGCGTGGGGGTGGGGGCGCTGTGCAATGGGGCAGGCGGGGTCTGGGGCACTGTGCCCAGGGCAGGCGGGGTGTGGGGCGCTGTGCAATGGGGCAGGCGGGGGTGTGGGGCGCTGTGCCCAGGGCAGGCGGGGGTGTGGGGCGCTGTGCCCAGGGCAGGCGGGGGTGTGGGGCACTGCGCAATGGGGCAGGCGGGGGTGTGGGGCGCCGTGCCCAGGGCAGGCGGGGGTGTGGGGCGCTGTGCAATGGGGCAGGCGGGGGTCTGGGGCGCTGTGCAATGGGGCAGGCGGGGGTCTGGGGCGCTGTGCCCAGGCACTGGTGCTGCACAAGGAGTCAGGGCATGTTTCTGATTGCCCAGGCTGCTCCATGCACAGGGCAGAGCAGAGGCTGGCCAGGGCCCAGTGTCTGCGGCAGAGGGTGGGGATGTCCCTTTTGTTAGCACTTGGCCCAGTGCCCTCTGTACAGGCACTAGGCTCCTGGAAGTGGAGTCACTCACAGACGTCCCACCACTTCCAAACTAGCAGGGTCTGGCTACAGTCTAGTCCCTGTTTCCCCTTCTGGGGCCGTAGACCTCTGACCCCCTTCCCTGGGATGTGGGGCCCAGCAGGCCTCGACCCTGCACTCAGTGTCTCAGACTGCCTTGTGACACTTACAGAGGCTCTCCCCGAGTTCCCTCCAACTCAGGATGTAACAAGGCTGCCCGTGGGAGCCAGCTGAGGTCACTCAATCAGGGTGAACTGCAAACAGAACAGGGCAGACAAACCCCAAAGGCTGGTGGATATTTCAATATTTAGATTTACCAAGCCAGCCCAAAACAGCCTCTGTATCACCTCCCTGGGTACTCAGACGTCCAAACAACGCAGTTCCCTTAAAGTGCCTGGCCTCAGGCCTCCATCCAGACACACATCAAATATATGATGATAAATTCTGACAATCTTACTTCGTCATATCAAAGAAAAGGTTCCCTCAATCCCAGAGGATCAGCCACACACCCAGGTCAAATGATAACTTAGATCTTACCCAAAATACATGCTTATAGCCAATTCTTATTAACTAAACTAAACTAATTATTTTTATTAAAAAAAGAAGAGAAAGAGTTGGTTGAAAGATGACTATACAGACAGACTTCAGTTCAATTTCTTGAGGTCCAGTTACATAGCAGAGGTGGTGAGTTTGTAGTTGCCAAAACTTCTTTTCGAAATAGTCCCTAGGTTATAGTGCAATGTCCATATTCAGGGTGACTCCAGCCAGTGACTGGAGATCTCAATTCTTATGGCTCAGGGTTTCCCCTTCTTGAAACCCAGAGCAGATCTGAGATGAAGAAGGATCGTGTCCCAAAGTTTTTATACATTTCCTGCAGCCTTTTTGGCTTGAGAGAATAAGTGTAAGCTTCTGCCTCCCAACCATTCTGGCAATTAGCACAGGGTAATTTATCCCTTAAACAGTTCAGCTACAGGTTATCACAACCTTCAGAGAGACATATAGACAATGATACTATTTCACTGAAGTGTCTTCCTAAATGTTAATATTCCTTTTTTGATCTTTGAATCCAAGCTATAGCCATAGACAAGACTTGTTTGCTGACATCACAAGACCTGAGCCAACATCTACTCTTCTATCTCTAACCATGCCGGCTGCATTTCACAGCTCTATTCATTTCCATCTCTTCCTAACCAGTCTTTAAAGTTCGGCCCTGGGTCAGGTCAGTCTGTGAGTTCATTGACTCTTTCTGGCACTGTGTCACCTTTCAATGAGATATTATATTACATTCCTAACATCACAGGGGGCACCTAGTTTGACCCCGGTGCGGCCAAAGGGCAGGAAAGCAAGGCACACAGCCTCAGCAGAGGGATTTCTTAACCCAGCCACTTTACCCAGAAAACCTGGGAGTATTACAGCTCTTTGAAAACAACAGAAAGCCTGAGACATCCGTCCCTTCTTCAGAGTCACGCTAGGCAGAGTCCCTTCTGCCCTCTGGCTCATGCAAGCCCTTCTTACAAGTGGCCACAGCCGGCCAGCAGAACCCCCCTCTTAAACAGGGCCACCACCTCTGTGCCGTGTGCTCCCACGCTGAAGTTCCATCTCCCTTCTGGGCCCTTGTATGGAAAGACTGTTGTTCCATGGGGGTGGGCCAGTAGTTGAGAGTTATACAGAGTGGATGCCTCCTACCCCCATGCATTCTTCATGGGGGCTCTTACTGCTGGTCCCTCTGAGGTGTTAAATACCTTTCCCAGGCAGGGCAGCCACCTAGACTGCAACACAACAGGCTGGGCTGGTCTGAAGTAGTGCCGCCACAGTGCCAATATTTCAGCAAGGCACAGAACACTTCACAAGTTGATACAGGCATATCCCACGCTGCCCCAGCTCCTGTCTTGGGATGGTCATGGCATAGTCAGGACTGGCCCCAGAAAAGCGCTGTCTCCTGAACAGATGAGCTTTACCCTTATTGTAGATTTCAGAGCAGCAGCCGTGTTAGTCTGTATCCACAAAAAGAACAGGAGGACTCGTGGCACCTTAGAGACTAACCAATTTATTTGAGCATGAGCTTTCGTGAGCTACAGATGCATCCGATGAAGTGAGCTGTAGCTCACGAAAGCTCATGCTCAAATAAATTGGTTAGTCTCTAAGGTGCCACAAGTCCTCCTTTTCCTTATTGTAGAGAGGCCATTGTGCCAGCGGAGTAGAGTTCTCCTCCTCCCAGAGACGTAAGGGATCTCTTACCTTGAACTTGATTTGCAGTCCATGGGAAGCCAGTGCAGAGAACCAAGGACAGACCTGCTGGGCACAGTGCTGGGGAGATGCTTTGCTGTGTTCGGTAGCAGCTGGAGTTTCCTAAAGCTGGTGGCTTCACGCCCAGCGCTGCTGCTTTGCTGTAGTCCAGCTGGGAGGTGACGCAGGCTTGTCTAACCAGGCCCAGGTCACTGGCCACCAGGATGGGACGGCGTCTCCTAGCCAGCCAGAGGGGGTAGAAACCTTTACTTGTGAGTGCTGTTTTGTGAGAGTTCAGTGTCAACGAGGAATCTAGGAGCCTCCTAAACTACAGACTGAATCAACCACTTGTGGGCATGAACTTTCCACTAACGGGGACTACGCCATGGCTGCAAACTGGTCAGAGTGCTTCCCTCTGCCCTCCAGCATCACCTGCGTCTTGCTGGGTTTCAGCTTCCGCCAGCTGTTCCTCGGCCTTGAGCCCATTTCATCCACGCTTGGCGCTAGTGTTGTAGTCGTGCATGATGATGGATAAATAACAGAGCTGTGTCTCACCTGCATATTGCTGTAACCAGCTCACTTCCCATCCCCCTGTGCCCCGTCGCCCGTGGGATACTGCTGTATGGTCGGGCCCAGGGTAAGGCACTCCAATGGTTTGAGTCCTTCCTGAGGAGAGATGGGAATCTGCACCTCCATTGATAGGCCCCTCATCTGGGGAGTCCCACGGGGATCAATTCTCTTGGCTATTAGGAAAAACTTTTGGATATTAGGAAAAACTTTTTCACTAGCAGGGTGGTGAAGCCCTAGAATGGGTTACTTAGGGAGGTGGTGGAATCTCCTTCCTTAGAGGTTTTTAAGGTCAGGCTTGACAAAGCCCTGGCTGGGATGATGTAGTTGGGGATCGGTCCTGTTTTGAGCAGGGAGTTGGACTAGATGACTTCCTGAGGTCCCTTCCAACCCTGATATTCTGATTCTATTATTCTTCCTGCTCCTATTAACGTCGACCTGCAGCCAGGTGACACGGGTCACACCAGACACTGGGACACAGCAGTGGGAGACACGAGAAGACTGAATGACACTGGGCGAGCGACCCTTGGCTACATCTCGGCTCTGGGATCAGGCCCCACAGCCTCTGCCTTGCCCCACAAGACTTACTGCCCTGGCCGCTCCCCCAGGGGACTAGATGATGAAATCAGGGTGCTCTGGAAACATCCCCTGGGACCTGGTGCGAGGGGCTCTGGAAGTGGGGTGGCCGAGGTCACAGGCTGGGCAGCCTTTCCCCCCTCTGCATGGAGCAGAGACTGGCCTGCTCTCACCAACAGAACCCAAAAGCCCAGAGCTCCCCCACAACCCACCAGCCCAGCCCCGAGATCAAAGAGAGGCTCCCACCGGCCCACATCAGGGAAGCGACAGATGTTTCTTCTGTACTGTGGGGTTTAATGAACGTTACAGGTAACAAACCCCCGGCCCCAAGGAGAGCATGAAGGGGCCCTGCAGGAGGGTGACGAGCAACACCCAGTCTGCCCTGCAGCATCCCACCAGACACGCTCCCACCTTCCCGTGCACAAACATGGTGGTCTGAGCTCCTGAGAGCTGGAGCGAGGAGACAGCGAGCCAGGCCCAGGCAGCCATGCCCTGACGGTCTTGGGGCAGCCCAAAGCCCACTCCCTGGAGAAACATCCCATCCCGTCCCCCACAAGCTCCGCTAAGTGCTTTGACCCCACTTGACTGCCTCCCTGCATCAATAGTTACAGCGTGGGTGGTACTCCTACTGTCACTCACACATCTCCAAGGGCCTCCCCCGGCCCCACAACACCTGCCCTGGGTGGGAGGGGCGCTCTGAGCACATCCAGAGACTTTCTCCCCAGCCAATGGGGCTGGCTGATTTACGTCTCCTGTACCTGGGCAGAGCAGAGCAAACAGCCCCTCGGTGTATGGGCCCAGTCAGTCCTTCCACTGGCAGCTGGAAGAAACCACCCACAGCCCTCCCTCCCCCAAGCACAGCAGAGCTCAGCACTGCCGGCAGGCAGGCACCGAAGGGTGGGATATGCCTCCTCGTGGCAGGGCCTGGTGACACCACGCAGCCGAGCCCAGTCCCAGCTCATGCCGTTCCACACCCCTCCCAGTCACCAGGGCAGGTGGGAGAGACACGGGGAGGCCAGGCTGCATGGAGCCTAAGCTGCACTGGGGCCCCCAGGCTGGCCTGGGGCAGACAGGCCCATCCCTGCGGCGACTCTGGGCTCAGACATGACTCAGCTTTCAGGGAATGAGCTAGTCCTAGTAGGGGTCCCAGATGCCAGGGTCCTCAGCTCATAGTCAAAGGGTAGCAGCTGCATCCTGAGCTCATGGAGAGCGAATATCCCCCCTGGGCCTCCCTAGAGGGACACAGGGATCTTCAGCCATGCCCTCGAAGAGGTTGAGCCCGGCAGCAAGGGTCAGCGCCTGGAGCCCTAGCCGACTGCCTCCTGCAGCTGCAGGTTCTTCTGGTAGCAGGCAAAGCTGCAGAGGGGCACGCCGGTGCGTGAGCAGGAGTAACGCTTGCGGTTGGGGCAGCCGCTGACCCCACAGGTGGTGGGTGCGGGCACGGGTGGCAGCGTGCAGGGCAGCAGGGGCAGCGTGACCCCAGGCGGGAAGGACACGGTGATCCGGTCCACGGTGTTGCAGTAGCGGATCATGGGGCACGGGGCCTGCTTGGCCTTGCGCTCCCGCAGTGTCTTCACCTTGGCCTTGTTGGTCTTGGTGAGGCGCTCAATGGTCTGGTTCTTGTTCTCCTCCGCCTTCTTGGCCGCCTGCAGGCGCCGCTTGCGGGCTCGCTCCTCCCGCTTCACCAGCATCTCCTCCGTCATCTCCTTCGCCTTGTAGCCCATGGGCAGCTCCAGGAGCGGCTGGCTCTGTTGCTTGTGCAGGAGAGCTTTCTGCGGGGGGCACAGAGCAAGAGGGACGGTCAGGCTGAGGGGGCTTTCCCCGCTGGGGGAGGAGGGAGGGGCTCCAATCCAGCCCCGGCTTGGGGGAGATTGGCTGGCTTTGGGGAGTGTGCATGTGTCAGGGCCTCCCTGTGCAAGGAAGGCAGGGAGCCCGGCAGGACATGGGGCTCTAAAGCCCCACGCATGGGAGAGCTTTGGGCCCAGGGGATTCTGTGCTACCCTGGCTGCTCTCTGTACCAAGCAGGCTGCTGCAGCCACAACCCCTGCACATGTCTCAGCCGCCGCCCTGTACACATGGGCCACCCGCAGCCTTCCTAGGCCACATGGGAGGGAGGGAGGGACTGACCCCTACAGCAGCTCCCAGTCTGCACAGCTCAGGCTCCCAGCCCCCCTCACCTGTCTGGCCGTGAGCAGCGACTCATCCACCTCCTTCTTCAGCTCGCCGTTGTCGTCCAGCTCGCCCTTCTCCAGCGCATCCAGCCAGCGCTCCTCCTCCTCGTCCTCGCGGGCAGGGAAGCAGCTCTCCGAGTCCAGGTCCGGCAGGGGCGATGGATCCAGGTTACTGTCTTCATCTGCGCAGCCCCAGGAGGGAGACACAGTGTTACCACCTGTCCTGGGCCCCCTGTAACTCCCAGTGGTTGGCCTGCTCCCAAGAAACTGTTCTCTCCAGGGGCAGATGCCCAACAGACCCCTACTAGGACCTGGCTTTACACTTCCTCTGGCCCCTGGGCATAGGATCCGTCTCTGGCTCCCACCAGGGGAAACCCCAGAGCATGGCAAAGCTCAGCCCTGGCTCCCCGGGCAGCACCCACAGCCTCACTAGCCAAGCCGGAACAGAGTCAAGGGAGCAGCCCAACACGGGGGAGAAGCTGGGGTCCCCCAAAGCTGTTTACAGCTATTTTGTTACTGCCTATGGGAGGGAAACAAGAGCACTCAGAGCTTAGTCGGGCGAATGTGGGATCACCTGATACCTCCCTGCCCCAGGGGCCTCACCCCACCCCAGGGCTCCCCCCAGCCATGCGGCTGCCCCAGGATCCCCTCCCCACCCTTATCGGGGGCTGGGCTTCCTTGCCTGCTGTTTGGGAATGCTGCAGAGCTGTACAGCGAGGATCTCCCCCTTTAGCACCTACCCAGCCAGGCCCGATACTGCTCAATGGGGACCCCCTCCATGGGCTCGTCCTCGTCATCCACGACCATCAGGGGGGAAGGCGAGCGCGGCACCTCGGGGATCACTGTGAAGGTCGGCACACTGGAGAGACAGCCCAGACCCTGCCCGTTAGGTTGGAGCAGAGTTTGCTTGCCCACACAGAGACCCACACTAGGATCTGTGGGCTTGCGTCTACCCGCACAACACCAGCATCGGCCCCTGTAATGGCTCCAGGGCAGAGGGCCCATTGGTCTGTTCTGGGGAGGTGGGAGGCAGGGCGGGGACACAGGGCGAGGGGGGCTTGCTGATCCGATAGGGCCTGAAGGGAGAGACCTGGCTGGTCTGACCCGGGCATGAATCCTGGCCCTGGTCTGGTCACTACAGCGAGTCCTATTTTGAAATATAAGCCTTGGCCCCAAAAATGTCACACATCCCGCCCACTGCCCCCGTCACCCAGAGTGGACGCTGGGGCTCCCCTTACCTCTTGGTGCCCAGGATCTGCCCCCCCAGCTTGATTTTGAGCTTGAGCTGGGGCTTGGGGAGCAAGGGGCTGGACTCCAGGGTCTCGGCGGAGAAGCTGGTGCCCCCGGTCTCGTGGTGATGCCTCTTCTTGTGCTTCTTCTTGTGCTTTTTGTGCTTCTTCTTGTGGGAGCCGGGCCCGCCGGGCTCGTCCTGGTCTGGGGACACGCGCAGTCACCCCACCGGCCTGGGGCGTTCCCGGGGGGCTGGGCCACAGGCCGAAGGGATAAGCTGCCTCGACTCCCCGGGGGAGGGGGTGAGACCCACCAGGCCCCTCCCGGCTCCTCTGCCCCCTGTCCCGCTCCCGCCCCAGCTCCTGCTTGGCTGGCTGGGGGCCCCGTGGCTGGGGCAGGGAGCAAGCGCAGGCCCTATATAACTCCCAGGTCCCGCTGAGCCCCCCGCCGGGGCCCCGGTTCCCGCCCACTTCCCTCCCCAGCGCAAAGGGCCCCAGTCCCTGCCCCCCCGGGCCCCGGGCCCCGCCCACTTCCCTCCCCAGCGCAAAGGGCCCCAGTCCCTGCCCTGCCGGGCCGCTCCCTCCCATTTCCCCGGCCGCCCCCCCCCCCGGGCCCCGGTTCCCTCCCCCCCCCCCCGGGCCCCGCCCCCCCCCCCGGCCCCCGGTTCCCGCCGCTCCCCCGGTTCCCCCGCCCCCCCCCCCGCCGCCCCCCGGTTCCCGCCGGCCCCCCCCCGCTCCCCCCCGGGCCCCCGGTTCCCGCCGGCCCCCCCCGGCCGCTCCCCCCGGGCCCCCGGTTCCCGCCGGCCCCCCCCCCGGCCGCTCCCCCCCGGGCCCCCGGTTCCCGCCGGCCCCCCCCCGGGCCCCCGGTTCCCGCCGGCCCCCCCCCGGCCGCTCCCCCCGGGCCCCCGGTTCCCCCCCCCCGGCCGCTCCCCCCCGGGCCCCCGGTTCCCGCCCGCCGGGCCCCGGTCCCTCCCCCCACCCACCGGTCGCCGCCCCCCTCGGCCGCTCCCCCCTCGCCCACCGGGCCCCAGTCCCCGCCCGCTCCCCCCGGCCGGCCCCGGCGGCCCGAGCCGTTACTGCTGGGAGACGGGGGCCCCGGGCCCCAGGGGCCAGCAGCGGCCGGGCGGGGGTGGGGGGGGGGACCGCGCTCGCTCCTCACCCGCCTCGGCCCCCTCCATCCTGCCGCCCGCTCGCCGCCACGCCTTGCTCATCGGGCCAGGCTCCGCTACGGGCCGGCAGCCCCGGGAGGGCTATTCCCGACGGACCCGGCTCCGCTTCCGCCCCGCACAGCGCTCAGTCACAGACCGTTCCCCCGTGGCCAGCGGCCATCTTTGTTCGGGGCGCAGTCCGCCGCTAAAGGGCTCCCCCTAGAAACACGCCCCCGGGCACTTTGTGCCCGGGACAGAGCAAAGGTCCGGGAGGAGCTGCCCCAGTGGGGCGTGTGGCCTGCGCACTAGTGAGCAGCACCGCGGTCCTACAGCCCCCAAACCCAGCCAGGCTCCGTCCCAGTGGCAGCCAGTACAGAATTCCCCCTCCCACACTGTCCCAGCCGGCAGGAGCCTCCCCCATCCCTGGCTTAGGGGGTGTGACCCGTTCCCCACCTCTCCGGGGACTGGCAGAGCCTGCTTCCAACGCAGCCCGCTGCTGGCGCTGCTCCAGGGCACGTGGGTTTGTTGCTAGGGGGTTGGGGAGCTGCCTCCTGCACATGGGGAGCCACTGAGCTGGTGAAAGGGAGAAGAAGAGACTAGATTGTCAGCTGTTCTATGCTGGTACAGTGCCTGGCGCGAGGGAGTCCTGCTCCGTGATGGGGCCCACACACCACCGCAGCCAAATAATAAGTAACGATAAAAGGGCACTGGACTGGGACAAGGGATCAGGTGGGATTCCCACCCTGGGACTTAGGAGTTCAATTCCTGGCTCTGTCCAAGACTCCCTGTGTGACCTCAGCTAAGTCATTTAGACTCTCTGTGCCCCAGTTCCCGCCTGTGCAATGAGGGTAGCCCTGGCCTGCCTCCATTGTGAGGCTCATATCATTCAGATAGGGCCCGGGGAAGTGCTTAGATAGAGAGAAGGGCAGCAGAAGGCACAAGTCTCCCCACCCCGCAGGCAGAGGCCCTAGGAATAGGGTGAGCAGATTTGCAAAGAGGACTGTAGTGGGGGAGAAGGGGCATGGAGGGCAGCCAGTGCAGTGCACGTTTTCACTGGGTGTGCACTGGGGGGGCCAGCGGCTTCTCTAGCATTGGAAGGAGTGGGGGCAACGCAACTGGGGGTCCATGCACAGAAGCGTCTGATTTCACTGCCTTAAGCAGCTAGTGACATGAGGGGAAGGATGGTCCAGGGCTTTGGGCATTAGCCTGTGAGGCCTGGGGTCAAGTTCCTGCTCTGCCCCAAACTCCCTGTGACTTTGGTACGTCGCTTGGTCTCCCTGGGCCTTGGTTCCCACCTGGAAATGGGGGGAAGAGCGTAAGGATGAATTTGCTAAGAAGATTGCAGGGTGGCCAGCTGCCCGGTAATGGAAATGAGGGGCATTCATTCACCCTGCCCATGAACCAAGGGTCTCCCTTGGCCACACGCTGTCCCCACGTCAGCTTGATGCAGTGTTGTCGGAATGGAGCTGTGCAAAGAGACCCAGCATTTCTAGTAGATGTTGACGCTTCGGCCTTCCTGGGGCAGTGCGTCTGCACTGGGCATAGGCCCTCCCGTGCAAGGGTCAGTCTCCTGCCCCCTTACTGCTGACTTGCTTGTGATCATTGGTCCTTCCCCCAGGTCTTGTGTTGCCTGATTACATCCATCCCAGAGGGTCCAAAGTCTCCCCATGCACACTCCTAGCTCCCTCCCTTGCCTCCCATCCAACGCAGGCAAAGTCCCTTCCACCCTCCTGCTCTGATGCACTGGATAAAGGGCCAGCGCTCCCTCGGTGAGTCCCATGTGTGCCGCTGCCAGGCCAGATGCCAGATCTTGCCCAGGCTGTGGGCATTAGCTAAGGACTGGCAGTATCATAGCTGGAGCCCAGTGCTTGCTGGGCACAGGCCCACCGGCTGTACAGCACTAGGCATGTTCCCAATATTGCAGAAATCCCCACGCATACAATTTTGTTAATTTACAGGGGTGGCTGCTCCGAGGATTTTCCATCAAGGCACTGAGATTGGAACCATTAGCCTCCAGGCCAGCCTCACACAGCAATCTGCCCCTTCCTCACCCCCCAGGAATTCACAGCCCTTAACTCTGATGGTGAAGATCCCCCAAATTAGGCACAATTAGTTAAGGATGCAGGTGATTAACCACTCCAACAAACTCCCAAGGGAGGTGGGGGATTCTCTATCTTTTGATGGCTTCAAAGCCAGGCTGAATACCTGTCGCAGATCCTCCAGCACCCCCAGCCTGGCCACCCATTAGGACTGCTGTGAGAGGAATCCAGGTCTCTGTGCTCTGGATACCCTGGGGTGTGTTATGCTTCTGGGGCCTGGAATCCCGCCACTGCCCCAATCTCAGGGTCCTTAGGCACATTCTCCAGGTGCAGACCCTCTGGGTGTTGAAACCTGCTGTCGAGCACTTCTGGGTGCAGCACCGACCCTTCAGACTCCCCGGGACTTAAACACACCCCTGCCCCAAACTCCACCCAAAGGTGTGACAGTTCTGGTCAGTTTCACTCTCGGGGCAAGTGGTAGTTGTGAAGCAGTCAACACACGCTCACACTTTGCACAGTCTAACACATTTATTCTCTTTTATACTTAATCATGGAAAGCGCAGGAGAGCACAGATCATACAAAGCAATAAACACTACATGCACGCCCCTGCCTCAGTTTCCTCACCACTCCAGGGCATTCTCTGGGCTAGGGCATGAGTCCCTTGGGTTGTCCAGAATTACTGGGGCCATCTGGGCTCAGGAAAACCTGCATGCCTCTGCTGCCCCAGGAAGCTGCTCTCCGCTGGGTGATCTCTCCCTCCTGGACTGAAGAAAAGATGCCGCCCTGGCATGTCCCTGACTGTGTGTTTCTTGATTTAACCTCCCCTTGGTCACCTGGTCTCTTTTGCATCCAATGAAGTGAGCTGTAGCTCACGAAAGCTCATGCTCAAATAAATTGGTTAGTCTCTAAGGTGCCACGAGTCCTCCTGTTCTTTTTGCAGATACAGACTAACACGGCTGCTCCTCTGAAACCTGGTCTCTTTTGTTCTACTCCTGGTAAGTTTCCACAGCTCCTCCCTTCCCCCCTCCCCAGAGGAACCTGCTGAACTAGGCTTTCTAAGGATGCTGATGATTTTTGGAATAACCATTGTGAGGTCGAAGTGCCGCGTCCACATTGTTTCTCTTTGTGCCTGTCGGGGGGGCGGGGTATAGGCGTCAGGCCCTGCCCGCGGGCCTGGAGCCGCACACCTTACTGCTGACACGGCAGCTTTCCGTCACACAGCTCCACAAGCGCAATCCGAATGTGTACCTGGTACGTCCTTAGCCCCAGGTCCTCACCAGGCCTGCCTGGAAGATGCTTTCGCGCAGCCCGAGCTCCTGGGCTCACTGCAAGGGCAGGCCTGTGCGACACAGGAGGCCAGGCGAGATGAGCGAACGGTCCCCGAAACGCTCCAGTGGGTGTCAGCCTGTGAGCGGCTGTGCCAGGCTGAGTCGCAGCGATTCATGAAGAGGTGGAGCTCACAGGGCGAGCTGGCATGTCTTTTCAGTCAAACCAGGTCATGACTCAAGAGACAACACAGACAGACGGACGGACGGACGGATGGGGCAGCATGAGGAACCAGCGAGGCAAGGCAGGCCAAGCACTGCTCTCAGCTAAGGCTTGTCAAGTTTTGTACGAGCACCAGGGCAAAGGCGAGTTGAATGGGGGGACTCAGAGGGCAGAGCGCCCCTCCCCCGGTAGCACCCCCACCCCCCAGCACTGTGCCTAAACTGCCCGGGAGGGGAGAATCTAGTTGGCAGCCGGTATTAAGTGGAGTACCCCAAGGGTCGGTCCTGGGGCCGGTTTTGTTCAATATCTTCATAAATGATCTGGAGGATGGTGTGGATTGCACTCTCAGCAAATTTGCGGATGATACTAAACTGGGAGGAGTGGTAGATACACTGGAGGGGAGGGATAGGATACAGAAAGACCTAGACAAATTGGAGGATTGGGCCAAAAGAAATCTGATGAGGTTCAATAAGGATAAGTGCAGGGTCCTGCACTTAGGACGGAAGAACCCAATGCACAGCTACAGACTAGGGACTGAATGGCTAGGCAGCAGTTCTGCGGAAAAGGACCTAGGGGTGACAGTGGACGAGAAGCTGGATATGAGTCAGCAGTGTGCCCTTGTTGCCAAGAAGACCAATGGCATTTTGGGATGTATAGGTAGGGGCATAGCGAGCAGATCGAGGGACGTGATCGTTCCCCTCTATTCGACATTGGTGAGGCCTCATCTGGAGTACTGTGTCCAGTTTTGGGCCCCACACTTCAAGAAGGATGTGGATAAATTGGAGAGAGTCCAGCGAAGGGCAACAAAAATGATTAGGGGACTGGAACACATGAGTTATGAGGAGAGGCTGAGGGAGCTGGGATTGTTTAGCCTGCAGAAGAGAAGAATGAGGGGGGATTTGATAGCTGCTTTCAACTACCTGAGAGGGGGTTCCAAAGAGGATGGCTCTAGACTGTTCTCAATGGTAGCAGATGACAGAACGAGGAGTAATGGTCTCAAGCTGCAGTGGGGGAGGTTTAGATTGGATATTAGGAAAAACTTTTTCACTAAGAGGGTGGTGAAACACTGGAATGCGTTACCTAGGGAGGTGGTAGAATCTCCTTCCTTAGAGGTTTTTAAGGTCAGGCTTGACAAAGCCCTGGCTTGGATGATTTCACTGGGAATTGGTCCTGCTTTGAGCAGGGGGTTGGACTAGATGACCTTCTGGGGTCCCTTCCAACCCTGATATTCTATGATTCTACTGGACCCCTCCCCCACACTGCTGGAAGCACCTTGGATTGTCCCTGGAGTTGCCCATCCAGGCACTGACCCAGCCTAGCTGGTGAGATCTGAGACACTCACAGCCCAAGGCAACCTGGCAGCTTATACAGCCCCGGAGCCAGCTGCTGTCGGTGTAATGGTCCAGCCTTCGCCTGCCCTCCCCGTTTGTGCGCAGGGGCTTGTGAAATGCAGGGGGTGAGCCGAGTGGGCAGGGCTAGCGCAGTGCTGGGGGTGGGGGTGGGGGGTGGTTTCTGCTCCTCCCAGCCCAGGATGCTGGATTTTCCCCTCCATGGCAGGTATCACAGGGGGCCTATTCAGGGAGAGCTTTTTCCCCCCAGGGGTTTCACAGCTTTGTGGAGCTGCTGTGTGGCCCCATCACTTAGCCAGCAGGAGGAGCTGTGGGCAGGAGGCAAAGAAAGGGAATAGCCCCTGAGGCCAGAATTTCTAAAGATGCCCTATTTCACCATGTTCCTTTCTCTCCCTGGCAGAGCTAAGCTCATGCCTGGGAGCCCTGGCATGGCTGATCCTGACAATTGCTGCCCAGGAGCATCCAGTCCTCTTGGAACCCCATTAAACAATTTGTTTCAGAGAGAGCCTGCAGCAGTGAGTTCCACAGGTTAATGATCTATCACTGTGAGCTGGCAGGGTCAGCAACACAGCCCTGCTGCAACCAACCATCACCCAGGGAGCTGTCCTCCCCAGGGGCCCCCCAGTCTTCCGGAGGTCTCAACCCTCCCCACCCCTGCCCCACTGCCAATACTGTTTCTGTTGCAGTGGGTGTGTGGGCCAGAGCCAGGGTCAGGCCCCATTGTGCAGGGGGCTGCACAGACCCAGAGGCACAGTCTCTGTCCCAGAGAGCTCCCAGGCGAACTAGAGTAAAGGCCAGAAATGGGTGGAGCGAAGGATGGCCGGGCCGGGGGCTCTCCATGCAGCTCGGGGAGAGCCACCCAGGCTGGTGTGTGCTGCTCCAGGCCCCTCAGCCCCGGAGAGAGAGGAAGTGCAGGGAGCTCAGAGAAGCGCCACAGAGCCGCGGAGGTTGGGTCACTGCCCGAGGACAGATTAAAGGAGCTAAATCTGTCTGGCTTGGCACAGAGGGGAGCTGCGAAGAGTGAGCAAACATGTGAAGTGGGTGGGTGGAAATAGGAACTGTGGTGTGTGCAGACATAGGGCATGTCACGTGTGCAGACGTGGTGTGTGTACAAAGCTCTTTGTGTGTGTGTGTGTGTGTGTACCAGGGTGTTACACGCGGGTATGTCCCCGTACACACACACGGGGCGTTTGTGTGCTGGTGCCAGGCCTTCTAGTTTGGCACTGCAGGGAGGAGGAGTGGGACAGGGGGCCCCCACCGAGCCACTCCAGCCATTTCGGGAGGGGGGACGGGGCACAGGGCTGTGCAACCTTGGGCAGAGCCAACCCAGGAATCAGCCCACTGGGGCCACAATGTCTGGGCCAATTCCATACCCGAGTGTGCAGGGGGGGCAGTCACCAACAGACACACACTGCTGTACACACATGCATGGGTGTAGCAGGCATCCATCTACGCGCACAGGCATGCAGGTACACACAGGCCCCCATCCTGGTGTGCACCCCCTGTGCACTCACATGGGAACACACACAGGTACATGCCCAGGTACCCCCGGCACACCCACACATGTACGTCCCCCTCACAATGACACACTCACCCCCCCGTGCACTCACATGGGAACACACACAGGTACATGCCCAGGTACCCCCGGCACACCCACACATGTACGTCCCCCTCACAATGACACACTCACCCCCCCGTGCACTCACATGGGAACACACACAGGTACCCTGGCACACCCACACACGTACGTCCCCCTCACGAGGACACACTCACCCCCCTTCCCCCCGTGCTCCTTCCCACAGGCCCCCATGTGCTGTCTCACTGTCCCATTGTCCCCTCTGCAGGCCTGGCAGTGACGCAGGCTCCTGCCAACTCTCTGCAGGGGCTCCCGGTGCCTGCTGCCGCCTAGCTCCGCAAGGCCCTTCCCCAGCCTGGCAGCCAGCCTCGGCCCGCCCCAGGGGACTCTGGTCCAGAGATCCCCACCCTAGGGAACCAGCACCCCGGGGCCAGGCCACACCAGCTGGCTTCATGATTCTCTCTGTGCCCGCCTGGGGAGGCCCTGGATGGTTCCTTATCAAAGCAGCCTGCTCCTTGATATCCACGTGTGCGGGGCTGCAGCGCTGCCCGCCCCCGCCAGGTGCCGCCCGGTTCGGTTCGGTTCGGGGCTGCAGCGCTGCCCGCCCCCGCCAGGTGCCGCCCGGGGGCGGAGGGGAGGAGTTTGACTCGAAGTTTTGAGCCGAGAGTGAACTTTCCCTTGGGAATCGGGAGTGGACCTGGGACTGAGCGCGCAGGTCCGGCCCGGGGCAGTGAGCTCGGAACCGAACCAGTGGGGACCGGGCCGGGGTAGCACGATCGGAACCGGGACCGCAGGCTCCCCGTTCGCCCACCCGCTGTGGGTTGCAACCCAGACCGCGGCGGCTCCGATCCCCCAGAGATTTGGACCGGGCCGGTCCCGGCTGCGCCAGGATGTTCTGCCGGAACCACCGGAGCCGAGTGACCGTGGCGCGGGGCTCAGCCCTGGAGATGGAGATCCGGAGGGGCCGCTTCAGGCTCAGCCTCCTCGGGGACACCCCCCAGGTAGGAATCGCCCCCGCCCGCCATGCACCGCCGCAAGCCCCCGCCAGCCCCGAACCCGCGCTGCCTCCAACACCCGGGGGGCGCCGGGGTCCCCCGCTTCTCCCTGCGCCTCGCCCGTCTCCGCCTCCTCCTCCCCCCCCGGTCTCCAGCTCTCACCGGCGTCGGCGCCACGCTCCGGCCCGGGGGCTGCCCCTGCCGGCCTGGGCAGCTCTGGGGCCGGGAAGTTTGAGGGACCCTCCCTGGGCTTTTGGGGCTCCCCAAACAGACGTTGTTGTGGCCCCACAGCCCCCTAGTGCAGCGCTGAGCACTGGGGTCAGCACTGCCAGGGGAGAGCGCCCCCTACGGAGCTCCCCATGCCTGCCCCACAGTCTGGGTTGCTGGGGTCAGCTGGGTCTGCAGAGCACCGCTTAAAGTGGGGGGATAGATTCCCCCCCACCTGACCCTCCTCTTTCCATCCGAGGCCCAGGAGCCCCTCGTCCACCCTCTCCAGTCTGAGCGAGTGGCCTCGCACCCTGCCGCGCCTGGAGAGACTGAGGTGCTCCCCCTGCTGACCCCCCACCCTGCAGCGCCTCGCTGGAGCATTGGGGTCAGCGCTGACGGGGGGGGGGAGAGCAGAGCGCCCCCTCCAGAGCCCCACCCACCCGCTGGCCAAGCCAGACCTGCTGAGGCCATGCCCCGGTGGCCGCTGGCCATGGGACCGGAAAACTGGGTTTCTTGCTGACTTCGAGGCCGTTTAACTTGCTCTAACTGGGCAAGAAGCCAGCCGGGGATTGGCAGGGGGCTGGCCCCCCGGCGAGGGGTGTCACTGGCTTGCCGTGTGGGGTCCCCGCTGGGGGTTGGCTGTGCTGCCGTGATGGCAGTGTCCCCTTTTGGCAGCTGGGGGGAGGTGGCTGCCCCCCAGGCACGGCGCTCTGCCTCCTACGGGGTGGGGTGCCGACGGTGCCCCTCTGAGACGGTGAGAGGTGAAGCCGAGCAGCCACTTGAGGGGTGCTAGGAGGGAGAACATAAGAGCGGCCAGACTGGGTCAGACCAAGGGTCCATCTAGCCCAGTGTCCTGTCCGCCATCAGTGGCCAGGGCCAAGTGCCCTAGAGGGAGTGAACCTAACAGGTCATGACTCTCTCCTGTCATTTCTCTCCTGCCATCCATCTCCACCCTCTGACAAACAGAGGCCAGGGACACCCTTCCTTACCCATCCTGGCTCATAGCCTTTCATGGACTTAACCTCCATGAATTTATCCAGTTCTCTTTTAAACCCTGTTATAGTCCTATATCAAGGAGAGGGTGGGACTGGGAGTCAGGACTCCTGGGTTCTCCTCCTGGCCCTTCCGTTGCCTGGCTGTGTGACCCTGGGCAAGCCACTTCTCTCTGCTGGAGTCAGGCTGAGCTGGGCCAGGCCTCCCATCTCTCTCTGGGACGTGTGGGATTTCAAACCCAACCGCTCTCTGCCAGGCCTGGTCAGTGACTCTGGGGGCAGGGTTCTTAGGGGGCCCCTAGGGGTGGGCTCTGGCTGGTGGGGTTCCTGGCTTGTCGGTGTCACACAGGGGCACTGAGCCGCTGCAGACTCAGGGAGCGCAGAGCAAGCTGCATGGTGCTGGGCCCAGCATCCCCAGCCGCAGGGGCGAGATCTAGGACTGAAACCTGGGCCCCAGTGGGGGGCCCAGGTCTGGCTCTGCACCCCCCCACCCCAGCTCCCCACATGGCAGCACAGGGTACCGCCCCTCTGGAGCCCCAGGCCTGGCTCTGCACCCAGGTCCCTGCATGGCAGCACAGGGCACCACCCCCTGGGGCATGGGGCTTGCTGAGCGAATCAGACTGGTGGAAACCAATCCCATGGGGTGCATGCCCCACCCAGCACAGCTCCTGGGGAAGCCATGCCTGGACTGGTTGTGGCTGGAGGGCCCATGGGTGGCTCAGAGCTGAGTCCTGCCTGCGAGTCATGCTGGGTCATGCTGAGAAATCCACCCCCAGCTGGCAGGCTCTGGGGAGGGAAAGGGCTGCAGGGAGACTATGGCAATGCCCCAGCCTGGGTTCCTGCCCTGCATCCCTGGTAAGTCTTTCCAGTGCCGCTTGTGGCCTCACAGATTAGGAGTCCGTGCCCACCCTGTGCCTGGCTGCAGAGCATCCTCGTTCCCTCTGAGTGTCGGCCAGCCCCGTGGGGCCAGGGGGTGCAGGGTCATCGGCAGAGCCCTCTGCTCCCCCCCACTTCCCATCCCTATTAGCAAAAGTATGTGCCCCAGGAAGTGCCCGTGGGCCCCCGACCACGGGCCTCCGCAGGCTCCTCTAGCTCCCAGCTGGGCCGTGGGCACCTAGCGTCTGACTGCTGCTGCTCCCCACATGCTGGGGGGCTGCTGCTGGGGGCTGCCTGCCTCTGCAGCCTCACCTTGAGGCGGGTCCATGGGTGGCCAAGCCAGGCCGGGTGTCTGGGCTCTGTGAGGGGAGGCTGAGGCTGCTTACAGGGCACACTCCTCAGCCCAGGAGTCTCCCCAACCCTGTGCGTGCTCTGGGGTGGGAGCAGCCGTCTGCCGGCATGCGGGGCACCGAGGCCTGGTCCACCTTAGGGTGCTGCAGCGCCTCAGTGTGACACTGCCTGCCCCGTGGGGAAGGAGGGGCTCTCCTGTGGGTGCAGTTAATCCACCTCCCAGGAGGCAGCAGCCGGCTCCACGGCCGAGTTCTTCCATCACCCAGGACTGGCCACCCGGGGACTCAGGTTGGCTGAATTACACCGCTTGGGGATTTCCCCACCCCGCAGTGGTGGAATTAAACCGACCTGATTTCCTAGTGTAGACCAGGCCTGAGTCACCTGCCCATCCCCTGCTCCCCTCCCGGGGTCGGGGGGTGGGGCGGAAGCAGAAAGACACCTGGGTCACAAAGGACTTGCTGCACCCCCAGGGAATGGTGCTGGGTTCCAGGTTCTCCCCTTCACGCTGGAGGGTCCCCAGGCAGTCTAGCACCATGCCCAGCCCTGTGCATGGAAAGGGTTAACTCCAGCTCCTTCTCCAGCCTGCTCCTCTCCCAGGGGAGCTGTACCTGGCAGCAGATGGAACAAAGGCCCTGTTCTCTCCTGGAGCTGGGAATTCCCGCTGTGCTGCCTAGGGCAAGGCTGGGACTGACACTTCTGAAGGCTAATGCCCCCCCGCCCCCCAGCGAGCCGCAGCCTCTCTCTCACCTGACCCCAGCAATCCCACGCTGACGCTGACGGCACTACCCTGGCCTTGTTCCCCGCCAGCCAACCCTGGCCTGCCCCCAGCACCAGGGGCCCGCCTTGGCCCTGCACCCGCCACCTAAAAACACTCATATTAGTTCCACAAACCAGAGAACAGCCCAGCCCAACGCTCCTGCTCCGCCCACCCCATTGAGAGACTTGTTAAATGTCCACGGTCAGTCGGATGAATTGTGTTTTGGGGATAACACTAAATCAGGTCCCCCTCATAAGAACCTATGAACGGCCAGACTGGGTCAGACCAAAGGTCCATCTAGCCCAGAGTCCTGTCTTCCAACAGTGGCCAGGGCCAGGTGCCCCAGAGGGAATGAACAGAACAGGGAATCATCAAGTGATCCATCTCCTGTCGCCCATTCCCAGCTGCTGGCAGACAGAGGCTATGGACGCCATTCCTGCCCATCCTGGCTAATAGCTATTGGTGGACCTATCCTCCATGAACTTATCTAGTTCTTTTTTGACCCCTGTTATACCCTTGGCCTTTACAACATCCTCTGGCAAGGAGTTCCACAGGTTGACTGTAGGTTGTGTGAAGAAATACTTCCTTTTGTGTGTTTTAAAGATTCTGCCTATTAATTTCATTTGGTGACCCCTAGTTCTTGTGTTATGAGAAGTAGTAAACAACACTTCCTTATTTACTTTCTCCACCCAGTCATGATTTTATAGACCTCAATCATATCTCCCCTTAGCCGTCGCTTTTCTAAGCTGAAAAGTCCAAGTCTTATTAATCTCTCCTCTAATCGTTCCATACCCCTAATAATTTTTGTTGCCCTTTTCTGAACCTTTTCCAATTCCAATATATCTTTTTTGAGATGGGGCGACCACATCTGCACACAATATTCAAGACGTGTGCGCACCATAGATTTATACAGAGGCAACATGATATTTTCTGTCTTATTATCTATCCCTTTCCTAATGATTCCCAACATTCTGTTCACTTTTTGACGGCCGCTGCACATTGAGTGGATGTTTTCAGAGAACTCCCCACAATGACTCTAAGATCTTTCTTGAGTGGTAACAGCTAATTTGGACCCCATCATTTTATGTTTATAGTGGGCTTATGTTTTCCAATGTGCATTACTTTGCATGTATCAACATTGAATTTCATCTGCGATTTTGTTGCCCAGTCACCCAGTTTTGAGAGATCCTTTTTTAGCTCTTCACAGTCTGCCTGGGACTTAACTATCTTGAGTAATTTTGTATCATCTGCATATTTTGCCACCTCACTGTTTACCCCTTTTTCCAGATCGTTTATGAATATCTTGAATAGGACTGGTCCCAGTGCAGACCCCTAGGGGACACCATTATTTACCTCTCCATTCTGAAAACTGACCATTTATTCCTACCCATTGTTTCCTATCTTTTAACCTGTTACCAATCCATAAGAGGACTATCCCTCTTATTCCATGACTGCTTACTTTGCTTAAGAGCCTTTTGTGAGGGACCTTGTCAAAGGCTTTCTGAAAATCTAAGTACACTGTATCCACTGGATCCCCCTTGTCCACATGCTTGTTGACCCCCTCAAAGAATTCTAGTAGATTGGTGAGGCATGATGTCCCTTTACAAAAAACCATGTTGATTCTTCCCCAACAAATTATATTCATCTGTGTTTGACAGTTTCGTTTTTTACTATAGTTTCAACCAGGTTGCCAGGTACTGAAGTCAGGCCTACTGACCTGTAATTGCTGGAATCACCTTTTTAAAAATTGGTGTCACGTTAGCTCTCTTCCAGTCATTTGGTACAGAAACTGATTTCAATGATAGGTTACAGATGGCAGTTAG